AAGAAAATGTTTATCTCCCTGAGCCTGGCCTTCATAATTCCATTCCATCACAATCAGGGAGCATCCTTAAATTTACCAAGCTGGGATCCAATGCAAGCTAAGTTGGAAACAGTGCAAACTAAACAAAGATAAAAGGACCTGGTCTCAGCACAACTAACAGAGTGGCACTTCTTTCCATCTCTCCTTCTGATATAATCTGTAGGGTAGCCTTTCTGTTTTCCTAGCGAGCTCTCAGAGTTGTAGTTCTGTGCTCCAGGGGTAGGGATCTTTAATGCAACACTATAACTGATGGTAATCTTTAAGGAAAACCATGGTGTATCTACAAATGCACAGACATGTTCCACTCAATTAGATGCTTGGACAGTAACAGAGCTACTGATATAGGGCATTTGTTCTAGTTATTGCTTCAAGTCAGGGAGGTGTGTGAACAGAGGAAAGGAATGGGAGAATGTTCAAAGGTAGGGATTCAAAACAGAAAGAAACACTTTCAAGTCCTGCCTCTTTTAGAAAACAAAGCAAACAGGGTCAGAGGAGGACTATGGAGGCAGAGAGAGAAGAGGAAAAGCTTAGATGCAAAGGTTTGGCAGTCTATAAATAAAGGGAAGGATCTGAGGACAAAAAGAACAAAGTGAGGGCAGATGGAAACATATGGCTTGACTAATATGGCCAATAGCATTGATAACGTATCACTGATTAATAGTAAATTGCAGCATTAATATAGTAGATCACCCATTGCAGACATCCACAAGGTGGCAAATTATGACATGTGTATCATGACATGACTTATGGACTTGTGTCAGACATAATGTGAGTACATAATTGTGTCATTTGTGTGATAATGGCATGAGGCATGTATAATTATTTTAATGTCATTGTGGCTTGTTGTGAATGTCACTGTCACCCATTATATCTAATGGACCATATTTGTCTGGTCTTGGTATAGAACTTGAGATTCTAGAGTCTCGTGCCACATTCCTAACTGCAAGAACCTTGCCTCCTTCTGGTTAGCACTTCCTGGGAATCCACTGTTATTGTCTGATATCTGAATTTATGGGCATCTTAGAAATGCATTTGCTTCCTGCTAGGTTGATAAAATTAAAGAATCAATGTATAAGTGTAGGAGTATAACCCCTGCTGTGAGTGATTTCTCACTAGCGATTCTTAGTTGAATGCAGCCCTTGCTGTGGCAAGAGAAAGCACTGCTTGAATAATGATGCTTTGTCCCAACTTCTTTGTTCTCTTCTGTGCTTTGCTGCTGGGTGATGTTCTGTGGTACAAAAAGAGCAAAATAAGAGAGCTTCATTAGGGCCTGGAGTTAAGACAAGACAAGAGGAAAAGTGGTAAGGGGGGGGGGGCCTGCCAGGTCTTTCTCATGGTACTGTAAATAATTAATACAGACAAATCTGTGGGAAACATTTTTCCCTACCTTTCCCCCCATCCCATACTGTACTGACAATGAAAAGAAAGCAGCATTTTATTAGATGATGGTAGAAGAGAGGAAGGTAGCAGTACTAGACTGATCTACTCCTGTTCCTCCATTCTGAAATATAAGAGTTGATGCACTAAGTTGGCAGAAAAGTGTGCCAGTATAATTTGCACTGGTCCAACAGCTGAGCATTAATCTGCCTCAGTCATGAGGCTTGGAAATGGTCCTTGTCTGTACAACTTGTAAATTGTCCTGCAGTAAAGGGCAGTGATTGGTAGATTCATCTGCCTTTGTTTCCCTTCCCAGGTCACCAGTTGGAGAGGATGTTCATCACCAGTCAGTCTTCCTAAAGGGTGGTGAAGTGAGCTTGGGCAACTGGGCAGGTGCTGGGACAGAGGCTTTAGCTATCTTTCAGGTGGGCTGAGTGACAGGTTGCCATGTGGAGGTGCTTGATGCTGGTAATCTGTCATTCTGGCTTTTTCTGAAGATGGAACTACAAATATTCTGCAAGACTGGTAGATCTATGTTTAAAAATAGGTGGAGGAACGGCATGGGATGAAGTGGTAAGGAGGTCAAACAGCGCATCAAGAAAGCATCTTCCCACTTAATCCTGTGCTGCCATTCACCTGTCAGCCAGGCTATTTTAGGACTTAGCTTTGGCCTTCCTTTCACCCAGGCTACAAATGGGAACTGGCAGCAGTTTTGTCATTTTCGCCTAAGCTCCTAAATACTATATGCATTTTTAAAAAATTTATGCATTTAACATTTCTGAATCCTAGGTGTATCACATCAGCAAGCAAGTGTGAAACAATTCTATTAAATACTACCAACTGATATTTCCCAGTCCAATTAATTGCATAAGATTATCTTTGTCATTTAAAATTTCATCAGAGTTATAATATGTATTTCAGAAATAGGTTGAAAGCCTTGCAAATCTGGGACATTTTCTTTAGCTAGGGATTGGTCCTTGGACCTCTACTTAACTTGAGCTCACATTAATTTTTAGACAAGACTTCTTCAACATGATGCCTTTTAGATACAGTGGGAACTACAGCTCCTGGAAGCTCTTGCCAGCTTGCCAAGTTGGGAAGGGTTGGCTTGGAGAGTGAAATCACATAAGAAGTGTTCTTAGGCCAATGCTGTGGTTGGGCTGGAAATCTAATTACCACTGTCAAAAGCAAGCTATACCACCTCTGCCCCATCCACCTCATGAAATTGCTACTAATGATATTATGTTATTACCTTCTGCCACTCTGTTTCACAGGGAATGTCTTACCTGCATTCAAGCAAAACAGAGGTCCACGGGCGCCTGAAATCCACAAATTGTGTTGTTGATAAACGCATGGTTGTGAAGATTACTGATTTTGGCTGCAATTCTATTCTGCCACCTAAAAAAGGTACTTAAGGAATATGAAAGAAACTATTTAGTCTCTTAAAAAAAAACAACAGAATATCACCCATGCCCTGGGAATGGGAACATAAGAAACTGCCTTATACTGAATCAGATCATTGGTCCATCTAGTTCCCCAACATTGATGTTGACTGGCAGTGAATTTGCAGGCAGAGGTTTTGCCAGCTTTATGCAGAGATGCCACAGACTGCATGTACCAGGACCTACATACAAAGGATGTGTTTGGCCATGAGGTCATGGTCCCTCATGACCACACCTTATACAACAGGACCAGGCAACGTGTTTTGCAGCAGGGAATGCACTACTTTTAACTACCTTTTGGTTTCTGAGCCAAAGAGGGCATCATGATGACAGTTATATTGCTAGGAATGCTGGGCTTTGTAGTCAATCAGACCTAGAAAACATTTATAATGATTCATGATGATGCCACTGAGACAGTAGTGTGTGTATTGTTGAAGGCTTTCACGGCCGGCATACGATGGCTGGTGTGGGTCTTCCGGGCTGTGTGGCCGTGTTCTTGAAGTTTTGTTTCCTAACGTTTC